TTCCGGTGTTCCGGTAGTCAGTGTTTTACTACATGCCCTTTCTCAAGGTCTCAATTTGCTGGACGCGGATATACTCTAACGGGCTAACAACAGCAACAATGAAATTCTCAATCGTACCACGAAGAAGGCGATGTAGCTCAGAAAACAACGCCGGTCGGACCTGATATTAAAAATAAGACTTTTGCCGGCGAAGCCAGTTGGCAGAATATCTTGGCTGTCAACAACAAGCTTTCGAATACAGTACATGACTAGTTTGGCTGTTCTTTCAGCGTCGTGTCCACAATTCGTCAAAGATTTTGATAAAGCCCTTTCAAAATATTGTTTGTTTGATTTATTTTCTGCCATAAAGCATAAAAGAAAAGAAATTCGAAGAAATCGATAATGGAATTTGTTACTTGCGTTTGACGTTCATATTAATTGTCGCCTTGAGCGAGCTATTTTTAAAACTGTTGTTTATGTGAACTTGCAACCAATCAAAATATTTCATGATGCTGATCAACCAATCAGATTTCCCGTCGACCAGATGGACGGGAATCTCCGGTTTACATTGGTTTTGTGTCAGGCCCTATTCTGTGATTAGGGCCTGAACTTTAGGTTAGTATCTCAGCAGATTAAGAACTAGAAGGCACTTGTGGTGTTGTTTGAACATGGATTCGTGGGGTTGTAGACTATAGTCACAAAATAGAAATAGGCAGAAGCTTCACTCGAGTCGGAACCTTTGAAGTTTTTGTGCCGGCACATGTTACTTCCGGATCTTGGCCGCCATGTTGAAAGCAACCAACTCTGGTCCAAAACATTATAAACTAATATGGCGAAACTTGTATTTCATAACTTTAAATGGGTACATCGTCGTTATTTTATGGTGGATGTCATTGAAATTTTCAGGACGTACTAAAGAAAGGTAGATTATTCATTTTATTATAATAAAAGCTTATTGAATGATGCTAAAATTGTCATTTTCAACGCATTGCAAACTGTATGTGATGTTTTGGCACCGATGGATATATACGCATTATGTTGTTTTTCTGAGTGTAGTTTGAAACTATTGCAACTACTATTCAACTTAACTTGAAGAAAAATGCGTCATGTCTTGTTTTTAGAACGCAGTAGGTTGAATTTTTTTAATTTTAGGCGCATATTATACTGTGAATATCCTTATAATTCGTACTACTATTCGTACTAAATTATATACCTGATCACTAAAAGGGGATGTGATGTCTTTGTATTGGGCTTCTTTTCTTAATTAACAAAAACGTTTTTGGACTAAACTAAGTAAACTGCGCGAGTAGAATCCATTTTCACCAGAACTGGTTTATAATTTGTAACTTTGATATTAAACTTTGATTGCTGGTGACAGTAATGCACCTATCAATGTTAAGCCCCAGAGGGGGGGGGGGATCGGATATAGGTGGGGCATTTGATTTTTTGAGCGAATTTTCAATCAAATGCCCCACTGTCGGGCAATAAATATTGGTCAAATGCCCCACTATTTTGCAATAAATTGCAATAAATACTATATTAATAAAGGTTAATTGGTTCAAATTGCCCCAACTTGGGGCCAAAATGCTGATCAAAATCCCTAGGGTGGGGATGCAATTGATGATCAAATACCCCACATATGCCCGACCCCCCCCCCTCTGGGGGTTAACATTGATAGGTGCATAATGAGTACGATATTTGTTCACATCTGTATCAAGCAATTGATGGTGGAGCAGACTAACTTGCCAGAAGTTACAGTTCATGACCCAAAATTGCAACACACCAATCTCATGTAGATTTACTCGGCAAGCACCATCTTAATTAATGATTTCACCTGTTACAATTACCATCAGCATTGTTAGGTTTACCATCTTAGTGAAGAAGCGAGACTAATTAGGCTCCAAAATAATAAAATATTGCACATTCAAACTGTGTAGCTCAGTCTGGAATGCATTGGTCTTGTAAACCAGGGGTTGTGGGCTGCATTCTTACTGTGGTCAAGTTGATTTTTCAGCTTGCCTGGTATAGATTTATTCAGTGTAGCAACATCTTAGTAATTATTTAACACCAGCCTTGTATTTTAAAGTTCAGTTCTTATGTACTTTGGTGTAAAAGATTTTAAGCAATATAACTTGTAGAAGTTATATTGCTTAATTGTTTTGGCAACACAGCATATTGTGCAGTGCATATGGTTAAAGATGTGCTACCTTCAAATATTTTCTTTTCTTCTTTTTAGTGTTGGAAAGTTCACAATTGGCAAATTTCAAGCTGTAGTAAATGCACAACCTCAAAAACAATTTTTGTATCTTCCTTGATGTAGTCCAGAAAGCAATTTGTTGGAACATGAAGACCTTCAAATGTGTTTTCTGTTTGATCAAAGGCCTTAAAGAAACAAAACTGTTCTTCCTGTTATCATCTAGGTCATTACATTGGATGGCATTTGTGCATGTAGGACAGTTGCAGATCTTAATAGATTTATGGATCTAAACTCAAATTTATGGAACTAAATTATATGGATTTATGGAACTAAAATCAAATTAAATATGGATTGATAATATGGATAAAAAATGTGGATTTATGGAAATAAAATCAAATCAAAGTGTTGTTTACATTTTTGGAGTTGCACAACTTGTACTCAGTAGAATACACTAGATGTTAAAGTTTCATTTACTTGGTTCCCTTTGTAAAAACAACACTACAACTTACATGCACCAACATCCGATTTGTTGCAAGTTGAAACCAGTTTTATTGCATGATATATTTTACTCTGCCAACAAGTCTTAATAACTAAGGGGCCCGACTAGTCCTGTTAACCGAGGCACCCAGCTTAATACAAATCATTTAACAAGAATCTGCCTAGCTGAGATCTCACTTGAGTCAAATGGGATTCCCGGATAACTGGGCTGAAATTTCTCCATGTAAAGTCACCAGCTCAGGTAACCTCCTGGCCAGCCAGGCCTTCAGCCTGGTTAACCGGGCCAGCCTGCATGGCTAGTCGGGCTCATGTAAACAGCCCCTAAGGTGATAGCAACAATAATATACTTGGTGCTAAATGTAACATAAACTTGAGTAACAGAGAAAATTCTCATATTCAGATTATTTTCCCCTCATTGTAGAGTAAACTGTTAATATGTATCTTAAAAACTAGAGTGTATATTAGAATCTCACAGATTTATAATTTAAACTGTCGTTAAGATAAATCAGGTCTCTTATTGTCTGTTTTGTAAATGAAGTTCCCTGATTCATCCAAGCATTGACCTTTAAACTATTTTTCCAATATCAATGAACAGTCTTGTCACTTGTGATACCAAATTTGTAAAGTCACAGCCAAAGGATTTCAATAGGTTCAAGTCAATATATTATCCCAAAAATTCATTTTTGAAGAAGAAGTAGGTCCAGCAATTTCTTTCATATCGCAATATTATTTTATATTAAACGATTGTAGGCCAATATGCAAAGTTGAATTACACTGTATTGAATAGTTGATCACAGATTCACAGAAGGTTCGCTGAACTCGATTTATTTCCTTCATTGTTCATGGCTTTCACGTCCTTAATCCTTTTGTACACCATGAAATATCACCAACCTATCACTCAAAACATATTTTACGGCGATCGGACTAACCACACATAAGCTATATAACTTTATACGCCAAAGACCGAGGTGAAATTAATCGATGTATGACAATGGCCAAATTCCACGCTTAAATTCGTTTCTCATCCTCATAGTGACAATTAAATCAAAGAACAACCTCTTCTTTATGATATTTCAAAGTATCATGAGTTTTGCTTGGATACATAAAAAGCTAGAGCACATTTAGTGGCTCTATTTCGTATTCCGCCATATTAACTCCTATAAAATTTCCTCTGGTTTGGTTGCTTTCAACATGGCGGCCACGCCGGAAGTCGGCTGACATTCTGGCACACTTTTTACCCTTGAGTGAACCTTCTGCTCTATATCTATTCTGTGCTATAGTAATGACAAATAGTCTTAAAAGTCATGACCATAATCTTAATAGTCATAAAAAAGTCTTAATAGTCATTACTATAGTGTTACCACCATAGTTTAATAGTCCTGACCATTAAGACTATTAATAGTCATCACTATAGTCTTAATAGTCATGACTTTAGTCTTAATGATAATGACTATATATTAATACTATAGTTGTGGCAGTATTTGATCACAATTGTGGCAGCATTTGGCTTTCTTTTTTTTGGATGGTTTTTATTGGGCATGAATACAAATACCGATAATACAAGATCGATTACTACAATAATAATAATAATAATAATGTTAGCTTAAAACAAACAAAAAAATCATCCCAAATGGTAGAGGTGCGAAAGAGATGTTTATAAAAAAACAAACTACCCATGCGAGGCACCTTTCCGAATATACGTGACAGTGTCATTAATTCTTACAAGTAACAAAACAAAAATACAAAACAATAAATTACAATACAAAAAACATAACACAGTCAAATTCGATGACAAGGACAATTTCGTGACATTGACGAGGTACATACAAATTAACATCAAAAACAGAATATATATATTAGAATAATGCTCATAAAGATAGTTTTTGAATGTTCTTAAACAAGAGAAAATATCTGGTGTAGCTGAACTGCAAACACAGTTCCACAGTTTCACAATTCGATTGAAGTATGATGCCTGGTAGGTGGATGTATTGAAGCCTTGAGCTATGGAGTCGTGAGTATGAGGTTTGGATTGTTGCTGTGACGGGTTCGGTTGTGTGGAACAAAAGAAACATATTTGTACAAAAGAAACATATCTGTGGACATCAAGGTTGGTTATACCATAAAGGGCTTTGTAGAAAAAAATCAGATGGCAATAATTTCAATTTTGTCAAACGTTCACTGTAGCTGGAGTTACCTTTACGTTGTCTCAACATCCATCTGGTCGCTCGCCTCTTCTCCAGCTTAGCTTGATCTTCTTTTGGCATGGATGTGTCGAGACCAAACCTCGCTGGCATAGCATAGCTGAGATTTAACGAGGGACAGATACAGGGTGCGACGAACTCTGACATCAGTAAGGAGGGGGCATGTTCTTCGAAGTAATCCCAACAGTTTGTTGGCTTTTGATGTTATGCTCTGAACATGGAAATTCCATGACAGATTTCCAGTCATAATTACCCCAAGATCTTTTTCTTCTTGAACGTGATGGAGGTTGGTTGAGCCAAGGTGGTAAGCAAAGGTGATGGGTTTTTTTTTGCGGGACACAGTTAACACTTTGCATTTAGATTCATTGAATTTGATGTTATTGGTGTTGCTGCAGGTGGTTAGGTATGTTAAGGTTTGTTGTAGATGTTGACCATCGACCTCTGATGTTATTTTTCGGAAAGTCTTCGCATCATCGGCATACAAGGCAGCATCTGAGTCTTCAGGAATGATGTTCGGTAAATCGTTTATAAATAATACGAACAACAAAGGGCCGAGTATGCTTCCTTGAGGCACGCCGGACGTAACAGAAGACCAATTTGAGGCAACATCATCAACACCATCAATTTGTGTCCTGTCAGTTAAGAATGCGTCCACAGACACCAAGTTGCTTGAGTTTCGCCAAGATTATATCATGGTCAATAGAGTCAAAGGCTTTTGCGAAATCTAAATAAATTATGTCAGTTTGTATGTTCTTATCAAGATTTTCTCCAATGTTGTGAAGAACCTGTAGCATTTGTGTTATACATGATCGGTTACGCAGAAATCAATGTTGACTGAGGAAATATAGGTAATTACATGTCCATAAAGTTGTTTGCATACAAAACGTTCCAGTACTTTAGCGATAATGGGCGAAAGAGATATTGGCCGGTAATTTTCTGCTGGTTCTTTCAAGCCTTTCTTGTGAACTGGTGTCAAGTTAACTGCTTTCCACTCAACGGGCAGTCGTCCAACAAGTAAAGATAAATTAAACAATTCACAAAGACTTGGTGCAATACTACAACTACATTCTTTAAGAATGCGTGCTGGTATTCCGTCCGGGCCACTCACTTGCAATTCACCAATGTTCGTCACATTTGTGATATCTTCATATTCATCCTCATCTCCATTGATTTCACCACTGGGTTTTGTAAACACCGAGGTAAAAGTATAGATTAAGAACCTCAGCTGTCTTAGCCGCTGATTTTGCTGTAACGCCATTTTACGTGATATTGGTGCTCTGTTTCGACCGATGACGTAATATGGCTTTAAGGTAAGACAAGAAAACTTTAGGATTAGTAGAGAAAGACTTCCCTATTTTAGATAGATATTCTTTATGTTTTCTTTTCACGAGTGACTTGACGATCTCAAAGAGTTTAGTTCCACAGCTTTGGCAAAACATTTTAAAACAGATTTTAATCAGAAGAATAAGCCACGAAATAAATATTCCTAGGATAAGTAGCGCAATCTCGTTGGAGAGACTGGGTATGACAACACAACCACATGCGCGCAAATTAGCATTAAGTTTCTACGGAAGAGCTGTGTTTTTTCTACGGCGAAGCGATAATTTTCTACGGAATGACACTTTAATTATTTCTACGGAAAAGTATCACATTTCCACGGAAATATATATTAACACATTCTACGGAAAAAAGCACCAAATTTCTACGGAAAAACACTTCATTTCTACAGAAAAATTGCATTTCTACGGAATATGACTGGATTTCTAAGGAAAACAAGCTATACCTGTACTCAAAGGAACAAGCATAATTTTCTACGGAAGATGCATGTCCCCAATGGGCCGTACTATATGTCAAGAATGTTCCCCAATAAAGTCATAAAACACTTTCTCAAGTGCGATTGTAGTCTTGCAAACATATTGTTTAGTTACTTTTAATTAAACACGTAAGATGTATGTAAGGAATGTTACAGCCATCGTTTAAGCAGGGGCGTAAGAAGCATCAAAAAATTTGGGGGGTTTCGGTTTCGAGGGGCACTTTTAGAATGAAAAAGGCACCTAAAATATTTTCCCCGGAAATGTGGGCGACGGGGGGGGCAGGGCCGTAGCTAGCATGTATACAGGGTGTATCAAAAAAAACTGAACAGATTTGAAATTGCTCTCAATTTCGCAAAACACCTATTTGTATCCGGTTTTTTATATATATAGCTTCTTTGGGTACTTATAATGTAGAATAATGAAAAAAATTTCTCGAACTCAAATTTTGTGAACCAGGGGGGTGTATCTTTTTCAACAAACTAAAAATGGCTCGCGCACAAAATTTAAAAGCTGTAATCATATTTTGTGTTAATAGATGGAAACTTTGTCGGGTTTTTAATTACTGTACAAAATTTCAGACAATTTGGTTTAGTTTAAGCCCTTTAACTATTCATTTTGTTCTAAAAAATCAGCCTTTCGCATGCTTAATTAATGCCTTTACCTAATTTGCATATTGCTGACATATGCAAATTAGGCAAATGCATTAATTAAGCATGCAAATAGCTGATTTTTAGGAAAAATGTAACTTTGCGTGAATAGTTAAGGGGCTTAAACTAAACCAAATGTACAGTAATTAAAAACCCGACAAAGTTTCCATCTATTAACTCAAAATATGATTACAGCTTTAAAATTTTGTGCGCGAGCCATTTTTAGTTTGTTGGAAAAGACACACCCCCCTGGTTCACAAAATTTGAGTTCGAGAAATTTTTTTCATTATTCTACATTATAAATACCCAAAGAAGCTATATATATAAAAAACCGGATACAAATAGGTGTTTTGCGAAATCGAGAGCAATTTCAAATCTGTTCAGTTTTTTTTTATACACCCTGTAGAGCTGGAATCACCCATTTTTTGGTTGTTTTACCAAATGAATCTGTTTTTACGGTATAGTTGTATAGACAATATATCTATAGATGTATTGGGAATTACCTGGCACATATTGAAACAGAAATTTCGGTTTGATCGTGAGCAAAGTAAGAGGGAGGCTTGATCTCCAATTCAAATTTAGGAAGAACTAAAATTTAAATTGAATTTTAAAAATACCAGAATTAAAATATAACAGTTCAACTAATTATTAAGTGTACACAAAACACGCTAAAAGCCCAGCAAACTTCAAATCCACAAAATAGAAGACCTTTGTTTGATGTTGAACTGTACTTCACCGTGCACAAATCCTTTGTCTCAACTTCATTAAATATTATACATGGTCGTTGCACGTTTCATCTCAGCTGTCCCTACTGGACGATTACTTAAGCCCCGTTTGCACTACGCTCAATTTTTGGTAACGTACCACTTTTTTGGTGCTTGGACTACCTAAATAGGTAGCCCAAAGTTAACACTTTGACACCAAAAAGTTATGGCTGAATAGATGTCATAGATCAGATATTTCATATCAAGTCAAGGTTTTGACTCTGAATGTTAGAGTGCCGTTCCCAGTTTAAGCGTGCCGAACCCAAAATTTTTAGAACAAAAATTTCGTCGTGTAAACGCAACAGGCGGACCAAAAAGCATGGGTCCGCGTGCCAAAATTTAAGCGTGCCGTACCCAAAATGACTGTCGTGTAAACGGGGCTCAAGAACCAAAAAAGTGGTACGGGTACTGCAATTTTATCCGTGCCGTACCAAAAATTGAGCGTAGTGTAAACGGGGCTTTAATTTCACGAAAATACAGTGAGATCGATCACCGTGACCGCACGTGCACAAATTAACATATAAACTCAGACCAAACCATAACACAATGACTTCTGTTTAGTTTTCATGAGACTAAAGACTATGAGGAAATAAAGAGACGCGTTTTGTTCAAGACAGACGTAATGGGGGAGAGCTGATGGAGCTTATTATTATCAGTAGTTCACTGTAGAAAAGACCACATACCGTATTTTTCAATTTCAATTCCGTATGTGACTGTCCTACCCTGAAACGTAACAAACCATAATGTATATTTTAAGGTTACAGGACACCCTTGGCGTTTTACGGAAAATCGCTACTGCGCGCTCAATATCAGTCCGATTTTCATCAAATTTTCACCAAATGTTCTCCAGTGCATGCAAAATATGGTAAAGTTGTAAAATTAACAAACAATAAAATAATGTAAGAATTATTCAGGAAAATCTTAAATCGCGGTACCGTTACGCTTTTGAGTTGTGCTCCTGCTGGTTTTAAGTTATATTTATGAAAATATCATTTTTATACAGTAAAATAGTTGTTCTAAAAAATTGTGTTCGGAAATTTTTGTTTATTTCTTCATTCCGCTGATATGGCGATTTCTTTGACGACTGCAATATATTTCTGAATTGTTTGAGTGAATTGCTCTTTATTTTTAAAATATCCAAAATTAAAAAAAAGCCGAACACAATTTTGAAACCGACGTCTTTAGCTATGTCCTGTGAAAATTTGAGAAAAATTGGTTAAAACCCGCAGGAGCACAACTCGTTTAAAAATCAGTAATTACCGTAAAATTCTTCGGGAGAAAATTGAACTTGAATATTACATTTTCAATGTTTTTCTTATTGCAGCGAAATGTATTTTATTAAATAACTCGCGAGTTTTCAACATTTTTCGTTCAAACTTGGTCAGATAGTAGAACTAGTCTAATGCTTTCATGGAAACCAATAAAAATATTTTGGGCAAAATTAACACTCAAAGGTGTTCTGTAACCTTAATTACAAAATCAAAGAATGTGGTCTAATGCCAATGGCAAAGCTAACCAGAGCAACAGGTTATGCTGTGCAAATTTTTAATGGTTTCCATGATTTAAATCTTTAGAAATGTATTGTTTTTAACCCATTTATTAGATGCAGGTTTATTAGCATCCATGACCAGTTACCATGGCTAGGATTATAATTAATTTGAAAACAAATTATAAAGTACGACATTTCCTCTCTTTAGCGCCTAGTCTTTTTAGATCCCCGTCTAACAAGCCTCCACCTTCCGTTTAGCCCTTATCCTCCGTTAATTAAATCACTCTTGCGTATAGCGATATATACAGGGCCGTACGCAGAATTTTTTCCAACAGGGGGCAGTAGAATATACCAATACGTTGAAATAAGCATTCAAAGTCATATCAGTCAGATGCATAATTGCATATTTGATTCACAAGATCATATTAATAATTTAAAATAACATTATAAAATTAGTAAGTTAAAATTTTGAGAGGAAATTATTCCTGACTGGCAAAGGTTCATGTCGTACCAGTGAATCCGGTGTTGTGTATACGTAACTGCGCTTTAAAAATCTGCTACATACCGAGTCGACAGGTGTTGCTTTAATTTTCCATTTCCCAAGAACAGGCTCCTTTGATAATTGAAGCTCCAATCTTGCAATACCTAAACGGTTTAACTCTTAATACGCAAGGCTCTCCTATATGCAGTACATTAACGAGTAAAATGGCCTGGCATTAGACAGAGTAAAATAATTTGGGAGCATAGCAGATCATATATATTATTATGTGCAAATGATTTTGTCCGTTAAAAGAAGCCTATGCTTTAGTGATACTTAACAACTTATTATGCAATGGCCAACTGCAAAGAAATAGCGCTGTTACAGTTCAAATAAAAAAATCTTATCACAGTCTACTATAACTTTCAAAATACGACCCTCACCATCGTCTAATTTTACGTCTGTCCATTGCATTATCTTCGAGCCGCTGGGTTCCTGTGCAGAAAAAGAAAATACAGTCTGGGCTCTCCCGTCCACAGAAACTTTCCTTCGAATTTCAGCCACAAAAACAATTTATATAAGAGTAGTACAAGGAACCTTCTAGAAACGAAAATGTTAAAACATAACCAGAAATACTCTTACATACCTGTATTACTACTGAAGAAACCTAGCAAAGAAAAAATAACATATCAATCTACGTACTGTATTTCGTGCAGTGCATTGTTTAAGGATTCTTCAGTGGTGGGGCAAACTCAGGCCGGTTAATGCCTGGCTCTTTGTTGGCTCTGCCCACGCTGACTTGATATGTCCGCGCGAGTTGCGCGCGCGATTCAACATATCCAGCGTGTTGCCGTTTGACTGCGTTTTGCCGTTCGAATGAAACTGAAATTTAATAACTATGAGCTGTTGGATTATTTTATATTAT